CTAACAATCCAACCATTTCGTGTACGTAAGTGCCTGTTCTTCCACACGAACCTCGTTTCGCATAGTCGTGAGCTTTTCGAAATGTGGTTATGGCCCAAAACGGATGCCGTATGCAAAAGTTATACGAACTTTTTTGAAAAATGACAATCCAATCATTTCATGTACGTGAGTGCCTATACTTCCACATGAACCTTGTTTCGAATCGTCGCCAGTTTTCTGAAATGTGGTTGTGGGCCAAAAACGGACATCGTACGTGAAGGTTATGCCAATTTTTTGAAAAGTGACAATCAAAGCGTTCTGTGTATGCAAGTTCCTGTTCTTTCACATGAACCTTGTTTCAAATCATCACAAGCTTTTCGAAGTGTGGTTACAGGCCCAACACGGACACCGTATGCGAAAGTTATGCCAATTTTTTCAAAAATTGACAATCCAAGCATTTCGTGTACGCAAGCACCTATTCTTCCATACTAACCTAGTTTTGAATCTTCGAGAACTTTTCGAAATGTGGTTATAGCCCAAATCGGACACCATTTGTGAAAGTTATGCCAGTTTTTTTGAAAAGTGACAATCCAAGCGTTCTGTGTACTCAAGTGCCTGTTATTCCACATGATCCTAGTTCTAAATCAAACCGAGCTTTCTGAGATGTGGTTATGGGCCCAAAACGGACACCATATGCAAAGTTTTGTCAATTTTTTTGAAAACTGACAATCGAAGTGTTCCTTATACGTAATTACCCGTTCTTCCACATGAACCTCGTTCCGAATCATCGCAAGCTTTCCAAAATGTGGTTGTAAACCCAAAACGAACATCGTATGCGAAGGTTATGCCAATTTTTTCGAAAGTTGACAATCAAAGCATTCGATGTATGCAAATGCCTATTCTTCCACATGAACCTCATTTCGAATCGTCGCGAGCTTTCCTAAATTTGGTTATGGGCCCAACACAGACACCGTATGCAAAAGTTATGCCAATTTTTTTGAAAATTGACAATCCAAGCATTTCATGTACGCAAGGGCCTGTTCTTTCACACTAACCTCGTTTCGAATCGTCAAGAAATTTTTGAAATGTGGGTATGGGTCCAAAACGGACACCGTATATGAAAGTTATGCCAATTTTTTTTGAAATCTAACAATCCAAGTGTTTCGTGTATGCAAGTGCCTTTTCTTCCACACGGTCCTCGTTATGAATCATCACCAGCTTTCCAAAATGTGGTTATCGGCCCAAAACGGACACCGTATGCAAAAGTTTTGCCAATTTTTTCAAAACTTGACAATCCAAGTGTTCTGTTAAGAAAGTGCCTGTTCTTCCACACGAACATCATTCCAAAATGTCGAGAGCTTTCTGAAATGTAGTTATCGGCCCAAAATGGACGCCGTATGTGAAAGTTATGCCAATTTTTTCGAAAACTAACAATCCGAGTGTTCTATGTACGCAAGTGGCTGTTCTTCCAAGTACACCTCATTCCAAATCATTGCGAGCTTTATGAAATATGGTTATGGGCCCAAAACGAAAATCGTATGCAAAAGTTATGCCAATTTTTTTGAAAACTGACAATTTGAGCATTCCGTGTATGCAAGTGCCTATTCTTCCACATGAACCTCATTTCGAATCATCATGAGCTTTATGAAATGTGGTTATGGGCCCAAAACAAAAATCGTATGCGAAAGTTATACCAATTGATAAGTGTAGTTTTTACACTTATTTGGGATCTTAATTTTGTTATTCTTTGAACGGATTAGTACCTGATCTGTTATTTATTGCTTTTATTAGGAAATGTTCATGTTTCAAAGAAGAATTGGAAAAAAGAAAAAAAAGGGCTAACTGAAGCAAATCCAAAGTATGGGGACCAAAGTGTAAATATTTAATGGTTGATTTGGACCACAAAAGATACTTTGAAGATTGATAAGAGTCAATTGAATGCAAATTGGAGTCAAAAAGGAAAGCGATATGATTAGAATATTACCATAAATTGACTTCCAATCATATAGGATATTTTCAAGATTTTTGGTCAACTTGACAACCATTTTTCGGATGGAGAACGTTTGAATTGGAAAAATTGTATTCTAGAAGAATTGTAGATCTTTTAATTAGCATTCCAGTGCACTTTGAATCACCTGAATTAGACACCGAAAGAGAAAGTTATGATCAAAATACTGAAAGCTCTTACGTACGCGCCAAGGGAACTTTCCTTATTTAATTCAAACTCTTTTGAAAGACAATTTGGACATGAATTTTGTCCTAATTTCATCATATAAATACAAGGTATGGGTAACAATGAAAAGGTCTCTCTCTTGCCTCTTCATACACAATAATTTCATCAAATCCATCAAGAATAATGGGCCAATTGCTATATTTTGAGAGAAAAGATCAAGCCATAGCAAGGAATTGAAGTTCAATTACATCAAGTTTTAAAGAATTCAACTTTGGACGTGAAGATCAATATCTTTTGTGTTATTTCATGATCCGAGTGATATTTTTCTATTATTCTTCTTGTAATTTATATATTAATAAGCTATGCTAGTTTTTCATTATATTGGATGAGATGAACCCTATTATTTATTTATTTTAATTAAAGACAAGCATTTAGTTTAATTCGTGTGTTACTTGATTAATTTTTTATTCCCATTGCACTATTGAATTGTTTAGCCATCAATTGAATAGTTAGTTGCTTGTTTGTAGTGTAGGAATTGATATGATTCAGGAGTCGAGCCCGACGAAGGCAAGTACAAGATGAGACCCGTTGATAGTCGATGGCGGACCAATGACGCGATCAAGGGCAAAGCAAGTGAAAAAAGTGATGGGATCGCTCATTCAAGAAACCATTGATGGAACCATGTTCGGGACTCAAAATGGAGCAACTTTCATGTTTGGGTCGAAGGCCGAATCAACTTGGATCAATTTGTTATCAAGCGACAAAATCGGAGGCTGAAAAGAAGTCTGTGCGGCCGGACAGGCAAAACTTCATGCGGCATCATAGTGGCATACCGAAACAAATATTACATTTCTTTTTGAACCATGCGACCGCATGAAATTACACTATGCGGCCTCACAAGCCAAAAAAATTGGCGAATTTTCTAATTTTGGCCGAATTTCTTAGTTTCGATAGAATTCTTATGAAATCAAATTATTACCATAATTTGATGGTTTTGGACTTTTTACTCCTTAGTATAAATAGGATAATACTTTTCATTGTAACAACTTTTGACTTTTGCTTAATATTATAGAGAGAGAATTGTTCTTTCAATTTATTGTTCTTCTTGAACAATCTTGGAACTTATCAAGATTCAACTTCTTGTAGCGTTCTAATCAATCGGATTGTGGGTTCTTTTAATTGTAATCAAGGGGTTTTAGGTTTTTCGCTAATCTAGGGTTTCTTGGTTCAATTCTTGGGGTTCAAGATCCAAAACCGGGTTAGTATTGGTTTTCTTGGATTCCGCATCAATCTCGTAGTTTCCATTGCTACGGGGTTCGCATCAGGAATACTCACAACGAGTCTAGAACGCTGAAAAATTAACATGTATAGTTAGGATTAGGAAAAATATCTATCATACATGCAATCATATTGATAACTTAAACTAAATGCATGATTTTCATATGAATTCGGACTAGGAATAGGATCGGGTTGTGTTAATCATAGGTTGGTGTATCTTGGAAAAGAACATTTAACATATTAGTGTTATCGATTGTTAAGAACTCGAGAAAGAAATTAGATTATGAATCAAGAATTGAAATAAATAGCAATAGGCGGAGTCAAAATCCAATACAATCCTCCATAATTTGATAAAACCCCAATTTTTATTGCTTTCTTAGATTAAATTTTGTTTAAATCAAATCAAATCAAAATATTTATTTTGTTTTCATAACTAGAATTCCATACGAAACTAGTAAACTTGAATTAAATTTATTCTCTGTGGGACGATAACTCTTAACTCACTTATTATTACTTGTCAACGATCTCGTACGCTTGTGGGTATCACACGAACAAGTTTTTGACGTCGTTGCTGGGGAATAAAGTTATAGTTTGATTTTATTTGTTTACATTGGATTTGAATCTTTTATTATTTTTATTTTTATTTATTTATTATTTTTGTTATTTTAGGCTTTAATCGTGATACCTAATCTCTTCTTATTTTACTCTTAAGGCTTTTACTAGATCTCAAAATTGAAAGGACCTTTAAACAATGCTAAGAGAACTAAGAAGAATGAGGGTAATGGCTGAGAATCAAGATCAGATTCAAAATGCACTGCAGAATGCAGCACTTCAGGTTCAACAACAACCTCCAACTCAGCCTATATCGGTTAGAGATTATGTGAATCCAGTACCTGCACCGATTCAACGTCCTATTGTCTATCCACCATTCGAACAAGCAAACTTTCACATCTGACCAGATGTCGTAAATCTTTTCTAGAATCATCAAGACATCAGGTTCAACGGGAAAGCTATGAAAAATCCACACGAACATATTCAAGCTTTTACCAAACTTTGTGATGTCATTAGCCATGAGGGGATGTCACAAGATGCATTCCGAATGTGTCTATTCCCTCGCACTTTGAAGGAGGGTGCGAAAATATGGATGATGTCACAACCCCCTAGGAGCATCGTATCATGGAATGACATGGTACAAAAATTTACCATGAAATTCTTCCCACCATCTCGAGTCCACCAAATTAGAAAGGAAGTATATCTTTCTAGACAGAAGGATCATGAGACATGTCCAGAAGCATGGGATAGGTTCAAAAGTGTGTTTAGGACATGTCCAAATCTTGATGTTCCTAAACTGGCACAAATATATCTATTCTATAATGGACTGCGCGCTGAATTTCGCAATATAGTTGATGCTTCTGCGGGTGGATCAATTTTGACTATCGAGATGGATGTTGCACATAATTTATTTGAGAGGATTGTTGAGAATCAGGCCAACTGGCTAACTGATAGGGAAGCTCCTAGAAAAATAGCTGGATTGCGTAATGTGGACGCAATGACAGCATTGGTAGCGTAGATGGAAGCAATAACAAAGAAGCTTGATACTTTAACTCAATCTATGCACATGGTACAACATCCATCTCCGGTATGCACAGGTTGTGGGGCAGATCACATCACTTCAAGCTGCCCTTTGGCTTCTACTCACATGGGTCAGTCAGCAGAGGTTAGTTATGCGCAAAACTATCAGAGGCAAAATGGATCTTACCCATACAACTACCATTCGAGTTTGAACAAGCATCCTAACTATTCGTGGGTGGATAATCCAGATCAAGTAAATCAAATGAAGGACAATCCACCAGTAATTTAGCAACATCAAGGTAAGAGGTAATCCTTGGAAGATCTACTGGTCACGTACATTACCAAGACTGAAACAGTAATGCAGAATCAACAGGCTTTCATACATAACCTAGAAAATCAAGTGGGACAGATAGCAACTGCATTAGCCAACAAACCACAGGGTACCTTGCCGAATGACACAGAGAAGAACCCACGGGAACAGGTATTAGTAGCTGAGGCAGTAAATTATGCAACTATTGAGCTCCCATCTACCACATCCACCACCCCTGTCAAAGCTTATGTGCCACCCATTCCATTTCCTCAAAGACTTCAACGCCAGCCAACAGCAGAGCAGGTTTAGGCCATCACTACTAGGAGTGGTGTTCAATTGCCAAAAATAACTGTAAAGAGGAAGGAGATAGAGAGAACTCAAATGCCTACCAAGGATAAGGAACCGATGGAGCAATCTGAAGAAGCAATAGAAAAGGACCAATAGACAATTTCAGACAATCCACAGCTTCAGGCAAATGTTCCTGGTACTTCACTGACACCTCTGGTCCCTTTTCCTCAAACATTACAGAAGACCAAATTGGAGAAGCAGGCTATGAAATTCCTAGAAATCCTCAAAAAAGTTGCATGTCAACATCCCATTCATTGACGCTATCCTTCAAATCCCAAACTATTCTAAGATTTTGAAGGAGATGCTAGCTAAAAAGAGGAAGATGCCCGAGCATGAAACAATAACACTACCTGAAGAGTGCAGCGTGACCATCCAGCATAGGATCACTCCCAAACTTAAAGATCCAGGGGGTTTCACTCTACCTTGCTCCATAGGAAACTTACAAGGTTTTAAATTTTTAATTGATTCAGGAGCAAGTATTAACTTAATTCCTTTACCTCTTTACAGGAAATTAGGATTGAGAGATCCTAAGGCGGCTTCTATCATCCTTCAGCTGGTGGACCGAACATTGAAACATCCCTATGGAATAGTCGAGGACATGCTCATCAAGACGGGAAAATTTATTTTTCCAGTTGACTTTATCATTCTAGACATAAAAGAAGCATCTCAAATTCCAATAATACTAGGAAGGCCATTCCTGTCAACAAGTTGGGCATTACTTGATTTTGATACCAACGAGATAGTCCTGAGGGTGGAGGATAAGCAACAAAGCTTCACCATGCAGAATCCAATCAAGCAACCATCATATTTTGAGGATTGCCAATGAGTTGATCACTGGGAGAGTTACAAAGCTAGCCAGATGTAGGTGGAATTGTTGGTAGGGATAACAATGGAAACTTGATCATGTGGCGGATGAAAGATGAAAGAAAGAAGTGCAACCAGTGCTTAAAATGTAGGGTTGAAAATTCTCTTTTCAAGCCACTATGAAGAGCCTAAAAGCAACAAAGTCTAGCTAAAGACTATAAATTAAGCGCTTGTTGGGAGGCAACCCAATATTTCTATCCATTTTATTTTATTTTACTATAATTAGAATAGCTTAAGATAATTTAGATTAATTTTTATTTTAGGACTCATCATCCATACCATGTTTTCTCTTAGGTCTTTGAGATTTAGTGGTTTATTAGATGTTTGGGTTAAGTAACACATGTTCTAGGTTATTTGATCTCTAATTTTTTATTTAATGCCATATGCAGGAACATGATGTAGCAAAACACTCAAACTAGCATAGACCAAGTGGAAAACATGATGAAGGAGAATGTTTAACAGTTGCCCAAAGTACGTTTGACATTCAATAGGAAAATCTAGGGAGTACCTTCTTCCTTTCAGTCCCCGTCCCCTTACATTCTCAATTATGTATTAAGACATTGAGGACAATGTTAAGTTTAAGTTTAGGGTGGGAAAAACTTTTTGAGTTTTTGATTTTTGTATGTTTTGTGTGTTTCTTTAAAAAATAAATAATAAATTCGTTAAAATTTCTATTTTTGTGCGTTAAAAAAATTATCTATTTATTTATTTTTGTTTGTTTGTGTGCTTGTGTACGTTAGACAGTTTGGCTAACTATAAAGATTAAATTTGAGGTTTGATATTGATTTATGAACTGTAGATAAGATGCATGCTAAACTAATTGAAGTTCAACGTTGTAAGACTTAGATATTATACATGCACTAGAACTGAGTTTGACATTGTGATGAAATGGGTTGATTCATATGCTTAATAAGTTGATTTAATCGGACATAGTCGCTTTACCCATACCATACAAATTATTTATCCTTAGACCAAATTTAGCACAGTTTGGGTTGATTTTGCTGTTGCAGAAAGATACGGATGTGGACAAGGATTCCATATGTGAAAACTTATGTGTGGATTATCTTAGACTAACAGGATAAAATTGGGTGAAAGTTTTGAGTTGGAGGTCGATTTGATTGAATAAGTGAGTGATAAGGGACATTACACTAATCAAAGCATATATTTTAAAATTTAAAACTTCTCTCTAAAGCCTTTATGACTCGAGTAATTAAGCCTGCAAGGGTATCTTAAAACCCAATGCCCTAAAGTCATCGACTTGGGAGTCATCGGCCTAAAGCTCGTTACAAGGGTCATTTAGAAAGCAATCAAAGATAAAGTTGCACTTGAAAAAAAAAAGTTCTCTTTGAAGCCTTTTTGACTCGGGTTATTAAGCCTGTAAGGATATCTTAAAATCTGGTGCCCTAATGTCATCTGATTTGGGAGTCATCAATCTAAAGCCTGCTACATGGGTCATCTAGAAAAGCTTAATGGAGAGAAAAAACTCTTAAGAATCAGAAAAAGCAAGTGCATGGAAAAAAGCAAAAACACTAAATACCTTGTTAAGTCCTAACACTTATTCGAGAAAATTTAACTTTCAATTAAAGATAATTAGCCGAATTGAGTCTTAGGGATTGAAGCAATCAAATTAATTGAGAATCCTTGTTCATTGATATATTGACTTGCAGCCAGTGATGTCCACCTGAACTAGAGAGGGTAAGGATAGTAATGAAAAATTCAACCTTAGATCACACGCTGGGAAAATAGTGAAAAAGAATAAATTTAGGGGTGTGTGAATCTTACGAGAGATGAAAAGATATATTTGACCATAGAGGGTTGGGAATTGAAACAACTTGTGAAATCATTAATGCCTACTTACTTTTTCACACACACATGTCGATTTTGCATTGGAAGAGTGGATATTGGTTTGGTATTATGACTTTGAAGCAGATTATAGATTTAATACGGTGATCTCGAATTCTGTGGTAAAAAACTAGATTGTCCAACCAAATACTTTTGCATGCTTGTATGTTTGTTATTATTTAGGTTATATTTTTGTTTGAGGACAAACAAAGATTCAAGTTTGGGGGTTTGATAAGTGTAGTTTCTACACTTATTTGGGATCTTAAATGATGATATTTTGTTATTCTTTGAACGGATTAGTACCTGATTTGTTATTTATTGCTTTTATTAGGAAAAGTTCATGTTTTAAAGAAGAATTGGAAAAAAAACGGAAAATGGCTAATTGAAGCAAATCCAAAGTATGGGGACCAAAGTTTAAATATTTAATGGTTGATTTGGACCACAATAGATACTTTGAAGATTGATAGGAGTCAATTGAATGAAAATTGGAGTCATAAAGGAAAGGGATATGATTAGAATATTACCATAAATTGACTTCCAATCATATAGGATATTTTCAAGAATTTTGGTCAACTTGACACCCATTTTTCGGATGGAGAACATTTGAATTGGAAAAATTTTACTTCTAGAAGAATTGTAGAACTTTTAATTAGCTTTCCAATGCACTTTAAATCACCTGAATCAGACACGGAAAGAGAAAGTTATGATCAAACTATTGAAGACTGTGCAGAGATAAAATTATGTGCGCGTGAAGGCAACTTTCCTTATTTGATTCAAACTCTTTTGGAAGACAATTTGGACGTAAATTTTGACCTAATTTCATCGTATAAATACAAGATATGGGCAGCAATGAAAGGGTCTTTCTCTTACCTCTTCATACACAATAGTTTCATCAAATCCATCAAGAACAAGGGGCCAATTGTTATATTCTGAGAGAGAAGATCAAGTCATAGCAAGGAATTGAAGTTCAACTACATGAAGTTCTGAAGAATTCAACTTTGGACGTGAAGATCAACATCTTTTGTATTCTTTCATGATCCGGGTGATATTTTTCTATTATTCTTCTTGTAATTTATGTATTAATATGCTAGGCTAGTTTTTCATTGTATTGAATGAGATGAACCCTATTATTTATTTATTTTAATTAAAGACAAGTATTTAGTTTAAGTCGTGTGTTACTTGATTAATTTTGCATTCCCATTGCACTATTGAATTGTTTGGCCATCAATTGAATAGTTAGTTGCTTGTTGTAGTGTAGGAATACTCACAACGAGTCTAGAACGCGGCAAAATTAACATGTATTGTTAGGATTAGGAATAATATCTATCATACATGCAATCATATTGATAACTTAAACTAAATGCATGATTTTCATATGAATTCGGACTAGGAATAGGATCGGATCGTGTTAATCATAGGTTGGTGTATCTTGGAAAAGAACATTTGACATATTAGTGTTATCGATTATCAAGAACTCATGAAAGAAATTAGATTACGAATCAAGAATTGAAATAAATAGCAATAGGCGGAGGCAAAATCCAATACAATCCTCCATAATTTGATAAAACCCCAATTTTTATTGTTTCTTAGATTAGTTTAGTTTAAATCAAATCAAAATATTTATTTTGTTTTCATAACTAGAATTCCATACGAAACTAGTAAACTTGAATTAAATTTATTCTATGTGGGACGATAATTCTTAATTCACTTAGTATTACTTGTCAACGATCCCGTACGCTTGCGAGTATCACACGACCACCAATTTTTCTAAAAACTGACAATCCGAGCATTCCGTTTACGCAAGTGCCTATTCTTCCACATGAACCTCATTTCGAATCATCGCGAGCTTTACGAAATGTGGTTATAGGCCTAGAACGGACACCGTATGCGAAAGTTATGCCAATTTTTCAAAAACTGACAATCCAAGTGTTCCGTGTACACAAATGCCTATTTTTCGACATGAACCTCATCCGAATCATCGTGAGCTTTTCAAATTGTGGTTATGGGGCCAAAACGGACATCGTATACGAAAGTTTTACCAATTTTTTCGAAAACTGACAATCAATCATTCTGTGTACGCAAGTTCCTATTCTTCCATGCGAACCTCATTTTGAATCGTCGCGAGCTTTCCGAAATGTGGTTATAGGCCCAAAACGACACCGTATACGAAAGTTATGCCTATTTTTTCAAAAACTGACAATCCAAGCCTTCCATGTAGGCAAGTGTCTGTTCTTCTATTTGAACCTCATTTTGAATCGTCGCACGCTTTCCCAAATGTAGTTATGGGACCAAAACGGACACCGTATGCAAAAGTTAAGCCAATTTTTTCAAAAATTGACAAGCCAAGCATTCTGTGTAGGCAAGTGCCTGTTCTTCCACGTGAATCTCATTCTGAGTCATCGGGATCTTTATGAAATGTGGTTATAGGTCCAAAACGGACACCATATACTAAAGTTAGGCCAATTTTTTTGAAAATTAACAATCCAAGCATTCCGTGTACGCACTTCTTATTTTTCCACATGAACCTCGATTCGAATAGTCACGAGCTTTTCGAAATGTGGTTATGGGCCCAAAATGGACACTGTATGAGAAAGTTATGCCAATTTATTCAAAAACTGACAATTTGATCATTCCGTGTACGCAAGCGCCTATTCTTCCGCACAAACCTCATTCCAAATCGTCGCGAGCTTTTCAAAATGTTGTTATGGGACCAAACGTATGCAAAAGTTACACAAATTTTTGAAAACTGACTATCCAAGCATTCCGAGTATGCAAGTACCTATTCTTCCACACTAACCTCTTTTTGAATTGTTGCAAGCTTTTCAAAATGCGGTTATGGGGCCAAAAGGGACACAGTATGCGAACCTTATGCCAATTTTTTTCAAAAATTGACAATCTAGGTGTTCTGTGTGTGCAAGTGCCTATTTTTCCATTCACACCTTGTTCCAAATCATCGTGAGCTTTTTAAAATGTGGTTATGGGCCCAAAACGGATACAGTATGCGAAAGTTATGCCAATTTTTTTCAAAAACTGACAATCCAAGCGTTTTGTGTACACAAGTTCCCGTTATTCCACGCGAACCTCGTTTTGAATTGTCGCAAGCTTTATGAAATGTGGTTA